GTATTCATTCAACCCTATTTGAAAATAAAACAAAACAAAAACAAAACCTTTCTGGCTAACTAGTTCAAGACTTAACAACTTAGGTCACTGCCATCAAGTCAATCCGCTGGGCTCCTAAAACCGCTACGTCAACAGGTGGGCGGGGCTCAGGCTGAATACGGTGCCTCCTGCCGCTCCAGGTTGGCCACGTCTTAGGTCTTGCAGGTCCTGGAAGGGTCATAAGTTGGGTTTAATTTATTAGTAAGGATTTCACATATTTTCAGGATAATATTAAAAATATTAAAAAATACATAAAATTTAATCATATGCCATTTTTCATTTCTACGTGGTTTTTTCCACCTTCCTTGGGTAAATATATATGGCCAACACTACCTGCCAGCTGTGAGGACCCGGACGCGCACGCGCAGACTGGAGGGAGGGCGGGCCTGTTTCCGGGTGGCGCGTGAGGTTTGAGGCTGAGAGGCGTCCCTCCCGCCGCCAACATGGAGACCTTGTACCGAGTCCCGTTCTTAGTGCTGGAATGCCCCAACCTGAAGCTGAAGAAGCCGCCGTGGGTGCACATGCCGTCGGCCATGACGGTGTACGCCCTCGTGGTGGTGTCTTACTTTCTCATCACCGGAGGTAACGCGGGCCGCCTGGGGCGGAGAGGCGCGGACACCTGGCCCGCCTGGAGAGGCGCTTCGGTTCCTCGGGATCTCGGCTCGGGGGACCATCGCCCCGCTCCGGATGCTCGGGGGGATATGCTGGGGTCCCAAGTAGTAAAGCCTCACGTGTTCTTCGCCCCTTCTTCCTGCCCTTTTTTGATCTGGGAGCACTCGAGTCTTTTCATTGTTGAATTTTCAGAGAAATCGTGTGCTCGCTCTCCATCTTTCCTTCTAGACTCGAAGCGAAGACATCTTCCAAATCTAGATTGCCCTTTTTATTGCCTGCCGTAAGTTGTCTGGCAAAAAGTTCTCGGAACGCCTAGTCTGGTCCGTTCCGCTTTCCTCATCCCAGAAAGTGTGGGGCTTTTAATTTACCGTTGTCTGCGGACCTTGGAACTTTGGGAGAGCCTCGACAGTCCTTGGATTTGTTAGCTCATCCTCCAGGGTGCAGTACTTTTGCCCTGATCGACAAAGAATATGAATGGGAATTTACAAAGGCACGGTCTTGGGGTCTTGGTAAATATTTCAAATTGGAGGTGAGATTTACAGCCCCTACTGGGTTTCAGAGAGCAGAGTTTGCAAACGAAGAATAAGGAAAATAACCACAATTACCATTAAATGCCTCTGAATTTTCATATCCTGTTCCTTTCAAAGAGAAAGCTGCAACGGGGCGTTACTTTGCAATACTGGTGAGTTGGCAATAGGACTGCAGTCTGCGGAGCCAACACCCTTCAAGACACAGTTCAGAGTTTATTCCAGACCAGGGAGGCCTTGGGCTGCTAACTGCGAGGTCCAGGTTCAAATCTACCAGCTGCACCACAGGAGAAAGAGAGGCTGGCTGGCCAATAAAGGTTTAGATATAGACCCCTCTACAGGATTGCTATGAGTTGGAATCTACCCAGTGGCAGTGAGGTTTTGGTATGTTCCTGTGCTTTTTAGGTTTTAGGAGAGAGTTATACTTAATTTCGTGCGGGACCCCATAGGACATGGTAGAACTGTCTCTGGGTTTCTGAGACTATCTCTCTTTAACAGAGTCGAAAGCCTCATCTTTAGCCCTTGGAGTAGCTGGTGGCTTAGAACTGTGCATCCTGCAGTTAGCAGCGCCTTGTTTGACCAATGTGCCCCCAGGGCTCCTTTGATTTAAAAATATTTATATGAAAGTTCTAAAGACTAAGGAAAACAAAACTGGTTTATTTTTAATAGAATAACCATATATAGCTTTACTTCTTTGTAGATGTTTTTTTGAGTGTACTTGGCATTGAACAGTGAAGAGTCTTAGCTGAACGGTCTTAGTCCTAGATGATACCTTGGAATTTAACTCCAAAATGTACAATACTGACAGCTGACATGGGCTTATTTAAATAAATTACACTTTAAGTGCACTTTGTATTGGTAAAGATGTTATTCTGGTTTGCGTAGCATTTTATTAGGTGTTGTGTTGAATGAATAAATAAAAATGCGTGTTTTTGGTTTAAAAAAAATGATTGAGTCTTCATCTGCTTTCTCACCGTTTCATTTTGGCCATTGTGACCCTGCAGCTTGTTTCAAGGGAGAGACCCTTTTGCCACTGCCCAATCATTGGGAGAAATGTGGAAACGACACCTTTTAGCAGTCAAGGCCTTAGGACAGCGGACCTCAACCTGTTGGCTGTGACCCCTTTAGGGGTTGAATGACCCTTTCACAGGGGTCGCCTGATTCATAACAGTAGCAAAATTACAATTACGAAGTAGCAACGAAAATAATGTTATGGTTGGGGGTCATCACAACATGAGTAACTGTATCAAAGGGCCACAGCATTAGGAAGGTTGAGAACCACTGCTTTAGGGGGTAGAAGTACCTTGTTCGGGAAATGGATTTTAACACTGGAAAGGAGTCTCTTTTAAAAAAACTGTGAATGTGCCTTTATAAACAAGCAATATTGCTGAGCAGTATTCGCCAAACACTTATCAAGACCCTATTAGGAGTCCTGGTGGCATAATGGCTATGCATTGGACTGTTAACCGCAAGGTCAGTGGTTTGAAACCACCAACCAGCTCTGCAGGTCAAGACAAGGCTTTCTGCTCCCGTAAAGAGTTACCAGGGCAGTTCTACCCTGTCCTATAGGATAGCTGAGTCAGCATTGACTGATGGCAGTGAATTTGTTGTTGTTTATTAAGGAACTCGTGGTACAAAGGCTAACTGAAAAGTTGAGGGTTCAAACCCATTTAGCTGCTTTGTGGGAGAAAGACTTGGGGGTCTGGTTCTGTAGAGGTAGCAGCCACGGAAACCCTGTGGAGCAGCAGTGTCACGTGGGATCGAGGCAGCTGGCACCCATTCAGTACTGGACACTGCACTTGCTATCAGGGCTGCTTGTGAACAACAGAGAAGCATCTGCCCTCTTGAAGCTTGTGGTCTCATCAAAGCCAAAATCACTGCCATTGAGTCAATTCCGACTCAGTGACCCCATAGGACAGAGTAGAACTTCCCTGTGGGTCTGAGGTGGTAAACCTTTGCAAGAGTAGAAAGCGCCAACTTGTTCCTTTGGAGCCGCTGGTGGTTTCAAACTGCCAAACTTGGTAGTGGTCCCAGGTGTAACACCCCATGCCACCAGGCCACCTTTGTAGTGTCGAAGTTGAGGTCTATTAAGTGAGGAAAAGTTCCACTCTGTCCTATAGGGTTGGAATGGTCTCGATGCCCGTGGGTTTGATGTAGAGGCTGCTATGAGTCAATCAATTCACTGGCTCACAGTGACAGGGAGGAGATTCAGCTAGTGAGGTAGCAAGTAAACGTGCAGAGACTTGCACAGGTGTCATGAGAAGAAGGTTTAATAAAGTGGGTTGAGTGGTGCTGAGTGAGATCCCCCCTCCAATGAAAGAGCTGTTCAGTGAGTGTGGCAGCGTGGAGCTCATTGCTGGCTCCCCCAAAGCTAGCCCGTTGCTGTAGAGTCTGTGTCTCCTCCGCGGAAGAGTTAGAACTGTGCTCCACAGGGGTGTCAAGTCTTTGACATTTCTGAAGCACCTAACCAGGCCTTTCTTCCAGGGAACCACCATCTTCTGGCTGGTGGTCAAGTACTTGACTGTGCCAGGCCAGTAAGTACTATGACAGTCTCAGTGCTTGAAGAAGCCCGATGGGAGTGAGTTGAAGAATGAGGTGTGAGGGAGGCAAGAGAACAAATTTAGCCATTTCCTGAAGTTTGACTCCCTTTCAAAAGGAGCCATAAACGTAGGTTATTGGTTTGGAGGTAAAAACAGGAGGAAGCTCAAGGTTTTGAGCCTCCTCTCTCAGGTCTTATCCTGCTGGTGAGGGGTGGCGTTCAGACCAGAGTCAGAAAACAGATTACACTCTAACAAGTGAGTTTATTGAGGGGAAGGGGAGAGCCAGAGAGCCCTCAGTTCATCTTGGGTTGGCTCTTTGCAGCACGTCTTCTGCTATTGACTGGCTTTCTGTAGGAGCCCCTCTTCTTTCCAGGTCCGTGCACCCTGGCAACCCAGAGTTCATGAAACCTGCAGTGAATTCAGCCATTGTGAACATCCTCTCTCCCTTCCATGCTCCACATATCCTTTCACTATCCCCATCTCGTCCACCGAGCAATACCTGCCCTTCACTCTCTCTTGTGCTGAGGCGGCCTGGGGGAAAGGTACCTCTGCTTTCCTTTTGTTTTAGGATTCCTTTCATTGTCACCTGGTCTTCCTCCTCCATTCACTGCCATTCTGTTCCCCTGCGCCTGCTTCTGTCTAGCTCACAGAGGATTTGAAGTCAAGGGAGGGTTGATGTGGAAGACAGAAAATGTAGCCGAGAGAAGAGATGCCCAAAGGTGGAAGTCCCTGAGAAGGCAAGGGGATGGGATCCTCAGGAAGGGCCCAACTTGGTAGGAGGAAGGACGCTTCCTCTACTCTTGGTGGAGGGGTGAAAAAGGTGCATGGTGGGGGAAGAGAAGGGGATCTCTAAGTGGTGACTTACGAAAAGCTGCCGGTCAGGAAGTTTGGAAACAGTGAGGAGGTGATGGGTGGAGTTGAGACTGGATTGAAAGAAGGGCTTGTAACACTAATGGACTAGTTAGAAAGGTGCCCGTCTTGAAACAGTGAGGAGGTGATGGGTGGAGTTGAGACTGGATGGAAAAAAGTGCTCATAACACTAATAGACTAGTTAGAAAGGTGCCCGTCTTGACCCTCGGGGTGCATGATGGTATGATTTTAAAGTGTCCCCTTGTTTTACATTGAAGTTAGGACATTTTTCACCACCCAATTTATAGATATAATCTCTTTTGTTTGTAATCTGCCTTTATAAATTGTGAAACTTTTTCCCCCAAACAAAATACAACCTTTAAATACTAAACCTTTTCAAATATTATTATTATTTTCTTTGGGGGCTCTTATAAATCTTAGAACAATCCATCACACTTGCACATATGTTGGCATCAACATTTCCAAAACATTTTCTTTCTACTTGAGCCCTTGGTATCAGCTCCTCTTTTCCCCCCTCCCTCCCCCACCCCTCCCACCCTGGTGAATCCTTGATCAATTACATATTATTATTGCTATTTCCTTTTCCTTTTTTGAATGGAGTTGTGAATATAAGAAATTGTGTTGTAACTGAATGAATTTCTTCACCAAAGTTCTTACTTGTTTTTGAGTAATGCTATTTTACCTTCATCCTAAAACACTGAGTTGAATTCGTCAATGGCGGTGAGTTGAGCCTCATTCTATTATACTGATACAGTCAATATAGTCCTATTTACATTCAAGTGAACCTTAGGGATAAATGAAAACTAATCCGGTTGTAAGACTCGCGCGCTGATGTAATCTGTCCTATTGTCCTTGCTGTAGGAATAATTTACGACGTCATTGTGGAACCTCCAAGTGTTGGCTCTATGACTGATGAACATGGGCATCAGAGGCCAGTAGCCTTCTTGGCCTACAGGTAAAAGATAGCTTTTAATTGACATGGCGGTGGGGAAAAAATGATTGCTAGAGCATGCCTGGCAGACAATGGGACCAGGGCAAGAGCGTCCTTGTTAGGTGCCACCAGGTCAATTCCTACAGCACCTCTGTACAGTAGAACAACCGAAGCAAACACTGCCCATCTTGTTCTGTCCTCACAACAATTGCTGTGCTTGAGACCACGGTTGCAGCCACTTGTGTAAGTCCTCCTTTTTGGGGGTCTTCCTCTTTTCAGATGACCCTGTACTTTACCAAGCATGATGATCTTCTTCAGGCACTGGTCCCTCCTGATATCGTGGCCAAAGTGCATGAGCAAGGTCTTGTACACCGTCCTTCTAAGGGACTCTGGCTATACTTCCTCCGAAACACATTTGCTCATTCACCCCGCCATCCATAATAATTTAATATACTTTGCCAACACCATCATTCCCAAGGTATCAATCATCCTCTGTGCCCTGTTCATTGTTCAGCTTTCATGTACATAGCAATTGAAAATACCATGGCTTGGGCCAGGGCACCTTAGTCCTCAGAGTGACATCTTTGCCCATTAATACTTTTTAAAAGGTCTTGTGCAGCAGATTTGCCCACTGAAATATGTCACTTGTGTTCTCGACTGCTACTTCCACGATTGTTGATTGTAGATCCACGTGAAAATGAAATCTTTGACAACTTCATGATTTTCCATTTTCATGATGTTGCTTATTGGTTCAGTTGTGAGTGTTTGTTTTGGTTTTAAGGTTATCAAATATTTTAAAATAATGTGACTACCTGCTAAAGGAAGGCATCAGTTTAAAATACGCTTATAGACTACAATCATAGTCTGCTGCCTTACATAGGTATTTAAGGGTCAGAAAATTATGACTTTCAGTAAATAAAGTTTTCATGCAGTAAACCATACCTATTTTCTTGTAGACTGACTATGGCTGCTTTTGAGCTACAGTGGCTGAGTTAAGTAGGTCTGACACAAACTATTTGCTTTGCAAGCTAAAAGATACTATCTAACCATTTGATAAAAAGATTTTGGACTCATTAAATAAAAATAATTTTTGAGATTTTGGGCTTCAGTTTCAGCAATGAAGCATTATTCCACGATGGCTTGGCTCACCTGAGCAGTGTCTGGCTTTGAAACATGTGCACGTGTATAGTTAGGTTGACGTGCAGGATACTAAGTACATAGAACGTTTGTGGGAGGATGACCTTGCTTCTCTGGAGAAGTCTGAATGAGAGGAGCTGCTGATGGGAGGGAGGCTTTTCACAGTTGCCTCTTTTTGCACAGTATGCATTCTGTGCGTGAATTGCTGTCAGTTAAAATACTTAGTTGAACAAAAATGGATGCTTCTTTTATGTATGCATGAATAAAAGAAAAGAGCTTTTCAGGGACAATGACCATCTCCATTTTATATTGATTTTGAACATTTTAGAAATGTTTCTGAAGCTTTGTATTAAAGTAATTATAGTTCAAAGGGAAACATTTTCAAAATGCTCATGACTTAGCCCTCCATGAGCCCTAGAAGGCCTATGAATAGCTTCCAGCCCCCAGAGACTCAGCACGAGAAGTAAACAGAGTGTCTGTGCGCTTGATTAAAATCGGGAATATAGGTTTTAAGTAGTTAGGGTTTTAAAAGCTAAATTGAAGTTCTGAGTAAAGGTTTTATATATGACGGGGCTTCAAACATGGAAGTTGCTCATGAAATTCATAAAGCGCCCTTGCACGTGAAATAATTCGGGCTTTTTTTGCTAATGATAGAATTACAAGTTGTTGATTTTAGTAGACCTTTGTGATGGTTGATGTTTGAAAACTAGTGTTTTTTTTTTTAATGTAAGTCCATCAGAACAGAGGTTTTGGTATCTTGTTCATTATTGCTACCCTGGCACGTAAAACATATATACAGAATAGATTCTCAGTAAATGAATGACGGGAAGAAGGCCGGTCCAGAGGTGCTATGAAATACTGTCCTTACATAAGAACCAAAAGTTAACACAAAATATTTGGGTACCAAGTATGGGGTAGGAATTTAAGTCTGAAGGGGGAACAAATCCCATCTATTGTTTTGCTAAGGTCTTTCGTTTGTGTTTCAGAGTAAATGGACAATATATTATGGAAGGACTCGCATCCAGCTTCCTGTTTACAATGGGGGGCTTAGGCTTCATCATCCTGGACCGATCCAATGCACCAAACATTCCAAAACTAAATAGATTTCTTCTTCTGTTCATTGGATTCGTCTGTGTCCTGTTAAGTTTTTTTATGGCTAGAGTATTCATGAGGATGAAACTGCCGTAAGTAACCAACCACTTCTGTTTCAAATTAGAAAAGGAATTACCTGGTTAGCATAAGATTATAGCCTTCATATATCCCTCATTTAAATCGATGTGAATGGAAGTGCCCCAAAGAGAAGGTTATAGCTGATGTTGTCAGGGGCCATTGAGCCCTTTCTGCCCGCCGAAGCCCCCTGCACAACACAGTGAAGCCCTGCCCCGTCCTGCGCCAGCCTCACATCTGTTCCATGCTTGAGCCCAGCCACGGGGTCAGTCCATCTCCTGGAGGGTCTGCCTTTCCCTTGCTGCCCCTCTACTTTACCATCCATGATGTCCTCCGGGGATTGTTCTCTCCTGACAATATAGCCAAAGGATATAAGACAAGATCTTACCATGCTGGCCTCTAAGGAGCACTCTGCCTGTACTTCTTCCAAGACCAATTGGTTTGTCCTTTTAGCAGCCCCTCGTGCTTTCAGTGTGCTTCTCCAACACCACAATTCAAGTGCATCCTCTGTTCTTTGATCTTCCTTATTCAGTGTCCAACTTTCACGTGCATATGAAGTCATCGAAAACATAATGGCTTGTGTCAGGCACACCGTAGTCCTCAAAGTAATATTCTTGCTCTTCAATACTCCAAAGGGGTCTTGTGCAACCAGTTTACCTAATGCTACTGTTCTTGTGCTCTCTTGACTGTAGCTTCCATGAGCAAGACAAAATGCTGGACACCTTCAACCTTTTCTCTAGCTATCATGATGTCACCTATTGTTATAGTTGTGAGGATTTTTGTGTTGTAATCCATACTGAAGGCTGGTCCTCGATCTTCATCACACCTGCTTTAAGTCCTCCCTTTCAACAAGCTAGGTGGTGTCACCTGCGTGTCGCAGGTTGTTAGTCTCTCCGATCCTGATGCCACATTCTTCTTCATATAAGCCACTTCTCTGATGATTGGCTCAGCACGCAGATTGAATAAGTATGGTGAGAAGTTACAACCCTGATGCACAGCTTTCCTGAGTTTGAACCACACAGTAGGCCCCTGTTCTGTGTGCACAGCTCCCTCTTGATCCAAGGTTATAGCTAAAATTAAGATTTCATGTCTTTTGAGAAATTGTTTCCTTAAAAAAAAAATTGTTTTCCCAATTCATGTTAGTGAGAGACTCGATTTATTTTGTCTTAACCTCACTGCTTGTCGATGGTTGTCATTTATCTAAAGTGATTTTTGGTTAATATAATATACAGATTACAGTTAAACTGAAACTAAACCTCTTTCTATGCAGGTGGATTCTGATTTATAGTGACCTTGTAGGACAGAGTAGAAATGTGCTGTTAGCTCTCCAGGGCATCAGTCCTCATGGAAGCAGGCTCCCCATGCTCTCCCAGGGAGTGGCAGGTGAGCATGAGCCACTGAGGAATGCTGAACCAGTGCTCCACCAGGGCTGCTCCTCTGGGTCCCAGTTAGGTAGGGAATGTTCTTAAGCCATGGATCACAATTGCTGTCTCATGAAAACCCATTAAGTCAAAGGATAGAAGGTGAGCATTTCTGTCTTTCAAAAGATGAGATAGGGATTCGATTGTTTTCCTACTAGGTCATTTTGATTCAGAAAATTTAGGATCTCTTTAGAAGAAAAATAAATGGGATTTTAAAGCAGCTTTTATAATTCAGATTAGGATCGTGATTTAATATGGGAACCAGTGTAACCAAATTTCCATATGCGAATGTTACCCATGGGTGCACTATACCTACGTGCACGCTGGGCAAAAATGCCCATACAAAGAGGAGCGCTTAGTAATTTCACCAAGATGTCCCTTAGTGAACTTAGTCTTCAGGTGGTATCTTTGCTTTCGTGAAGTTCCTAAGGTGCGCCTGATGCAAGTCATGGCATTTCCAGTCACCTCATCTGCACTGGTAAGCTGGCTAATGAATAAGAACTGGTGCCTTTGAATTATGGTCTTAGTGAAGTATATCGAATGTACCGTGGACTGCCAGAAGAACAAACAAATCTATCTTGGAAAAAGTACAGCCAGCTTGCTCCCTCGACACGAGCATGGTGAGGCTTCACCCAACTCGGGCATGTCGTCAAGGGAAACCAGCTGCTTGAGAAGGTCAGCATGAATGGTCATGGGAAAGGTCACCCTCAGTGAGATAGATGGATGGACACGGCGGCAGCATGAGCAGTTGTGAGGACGGTGCCGACCCGGCAGTGTTTCGTTCTGTTGGCCCTAGGGTCGCTGTGAGCTGAAACGGACTCGACCGACGACACCGAACAAGAGCAGACTTCACTTTTTAGGGAATAGCGTACACATCACATGCCAGTTATTCTGGCACTTACTGTAGCTGGCCTAAAAGAGACTACAGGAATGTATGTGTTTGGCTTAACCTGTGCATAGCCTGAACCAACTCTGAGATACCTTGGGCAGGCTTCCAGGCAAGGTTCAGAAGGACTTATCCAGCAGTCAAGTCCATGTCCTCGCCCCAGCAGACCAGGGAGCCAGAGCACAGTGTTCTCTTTAGCTGGCTCCGTGTGGTGTGTCACTCCCTCGGGCTCTTTTCTGGGGGAAACCATTTTGGCTATTGGCTGCATTGTCTGGACTTACATATCCCAACCTCGTCTGTTTTGCTGTTCTTGTTCCCGTCCATATTGGAAATAATAGAGGCTGATAAGGAAGTGACCGCAATGTCCACAGCAGAACAGGAAAAGAGGAGCGTCCTAGCGGATACAGAGTGTATGCCATGAATGACCAAAGCAGGAGGAACCCATTGGAGACATTTATCAAACACACGTGGGCTTGTTCAGCCCACAGAACCAGATTTGTTGTCGTTCTACCAAATGTTGTGCCCATTAGCATCTCATCTGACCCAGTTAAATAAGAAAAGGGACACTTAGTCTTTTAAGAGTCTTGGCAGTGGTGGTGCTGTCGGGGTAACTGTTGAGCAGCTAACGGCGAGGTCAGTGGTTCAAACCCATTTGCTCACAGGAAAAAGATGAAGCTCTCAGCTCCCATAAAGATTTCAGCCTCAGAAACCCTTTATATGGTTGCTATGAGTTGGAATCACCTCTACAGCAGGGTTAGGGGGGGTGTGGGTTGCGGGGGGGTGATGTCCATGGTTTGAAGTTTGAACCTGCCCAGGAGCACCTTGAAACAAAGGCCAACAATTTGCACTCACAAGTCTGCCAGCCAGGCAAACCCCGTGGAGCAGTCCCAACTTGTGGGGTTGTGAGTTAGAATCAACTCAAATCAAGTCCATGTGTTGGGGTTTTTGTTTACCGAGGATATGAGCATGTTAAATCAGGCATTTGACTTTTAGGATAATCAGAGGTCAATACTGTTTATTACAAAAAGGCTTCAGGGAGGTTAATTCTCTAGATTGTGTCTCTCCTCCCCCAATATTTATCTACATTTGTCTTCCTGTTCTCATTCCATGGGGCAGTATCCAAGGTTGTTGACTAAGTCTAAGCTTGGGAGTAGGAAATATGGTATTCTCTCTGGCTTTCAGAAATATTTTAAGATTTAGCTAAAGCTGATACCTGTAGATCATGTTCAGGTGTAAACAAAGTAGAACACAGAACAGTTATCTGCAAATTGACTTGCTGCTTTCTGTAACTTAGCATTTAGCTAAATGGAAGATTTGAAATTTTAACAGGAAATGATTCTCTCTGATACATTTTCATACCCCTAACCCTTAATGCCAGTAACTGCCTTCAGTGTGGAAGTGGCGGTGGCTGTTTTTAGGTCAGACAGAGAAACATGAGTATGGCCTGTGCTGGAATATTTGAAGTCCCTGAAGGAGATGATGAGACAGGTCTGGCCCTACTGGTGAGACAAAATTCACTTCTATTTATGGCCTTCAGCAGGGAAAGGATCTGCCCTCTCTCCGTCTGTTTTCTATGACATCCCGGCTATCTGATGCATAAGAAATAGAACAAAGAGGGCATTTTAAAATACAGTCAGCATTGTTTTCTACCCCCAAATCAAACAAGCTCTTCGTATGTGGGATACAGTCTGGCCACGCTGACGGATGGTGCAGTGGGTTAAATATAGGGTCAGAGGTTCAAACTCACCAGCCACTCCTTGGGTGACAACGAGGCAATATGCTCCCATAGAGATCTGCAGAAGCCCTGTGGAGCAGTTCTACTCTGTCCTACAGGGACACTCGAGTCAGAATTGATGTGATATGGTTTATGCTGAAAGATGAACCTTGACATTCCCTAGGAGCTAGTTTTATTTCCCCACAAAGTCTGAAAGAACCTTTAGCAGGAAGTGCTGTTAAAAAGGAGGAAACTGCGGCACTGAAATAGTAATGCTGGTTCCTGACGCTCTTGCGTCTACTGGTCACATTTTGCTGATTAAAGCATGACTTTGCCTGATGACCTGGTCTTCTGAAGAGTTGTGGATACCAGCAAAATGAACTTCTTATCTGTGCACAT